TGCTCGGTTTCGCATTGCATTTCATTTGGCACTTACGACCATTCCTCGTCGCCTTAGCAACACCCAGGCCGGTTTATAACCGTCGATGATCATGTTGAGAGGTAAACTCAAGACTCTCGAGAAGCAAAAGTGTAAAGCAGACCACCTTTTGAAAGGGGAATGATTAGAGAATGATGTTCTATGGAAGCGGAATGATAAAGTATAAAATACTGAAAATCTCAGAAGTACACTGAGTAATGATAAATCTGTAGTTTCATTTGATATCCCAGTCTACTTCAAAGTTCACAAGGACCGTGTTCCAATGAGACAGTATGAGAAAAAGTTTAGGGTTTGACAAAAAAGTTGTGAAAAAATATGATCTGATCACTTTAAAGATTTACTCTGGACGGAAATTTGAAGCTTGCCAAAATACCGCAACTTTGATTGAGCTGAATAACTTCGCGACGCGAAGAGCGATAGAATGGCCGATGTAAAAGATGGCTAAAGCCAAGTTATTATTTCTCCGCAATTTGCAAATGTCGTCTCATGTCGACCGAAACTCTACAAACCACCTACTTTGGTCCAATTCAAACGTGGCGGCGCATGACTTTCCAGAAGTACTTCGCAAAGACAGTTTTGCCTAGCAACAGAAAATTAGCATCTACAGGCAAGTCCAGCATCAAGGACGTCTCGAGACCTGTCGTCATGGCAACATCAAGCGATAGTTGGGCTCAAATTGCAGATGGCCGGTTCGAGTTGTCTCCTCGAAAATGGCCACCCAAAATGCAACCACCCTCTTCGCGAGGTCAGGCCATTTTGCAGCAACTGGTCAATGCCAATTGTAGACTGCCTCCTTCGTTGGATGGTACCAAGTCGGACAGACGACCTGCGGAAGTGGCTGAAGCTGAGCCGAATGGCAAAATTGAATTAGCCGCAAGAAGAGTGATTCAATTCCCCAGCATTGGCACATTTGGCCCGGCAGCAGTCCGTACAATTTTGCAGACTCACCATTTCGCTGGGAATTGCTTTTCCCGAAGAGGCATAAAAGCATTAAATGAGAAAAAGTCAACAGACCGGTACAGTCAATTAGTTATTGTTGCATATGCAACTATTGCTTATTGCAGCGTTGCATTGCTTTGGCAGAAATAGCACACGAAATGCATTCTTCCTGCAACAGAAGCAAGGCTATTCTATTTTCAAGTGGGCATAGCCTCGTAATCGCCCGGAGGGTTAAGGCCCGAAGGCTTGACCACCAATTGGGCACATAAAAAGGATACATAATTTCTTTTTAGGCGGATTCGCCATGTCCGGTCTACAGAGATCGTGGCAACGGGCTCGGCAGTACTCGAATCCAAAACCGAACAGCTCTTACGTCGAAAATCGCAGTAAATGAAGACAAAACTCGAAGAATCCTAATTAAGCTTTATTGTATGTGATTCATTTTTGCAGAATAGCCCTTAAGAGGACTATGATTTTTGGTAAAACTGGCAGCACATTTGATGGAAGTAATGCTCATTTTATGATTAGGACGTGCATTTGATTAATCACTCCTCCTGTGGGATACAAACAGCTGCCGACTTCCTTCCTGACGGTGAAATGTCATGACGCACAGAGCAAGTGGTTTAGTGACCTCAATTCAAAGCGTTCTTTTACAGTCGACTTCATGGAAAGTGGGAAAAATTGAAGCAATGCTCATTTAATGCGACATTACTTTGCATTACGAGGGAAATGTCGATTGGAAATGGATGAATTGCACTGGAAACCGAAGTAGAATTATCTTAAAGTGGATGAAAGACAGTTGGACTGTGTTATTCACCCCTCGGCTCATCGTCCCGAGAACCCGAGCAACCTGTACTAGGCCTTCAGCTGTCATGTGACAAGCGTTGTCACAGCAAGAAATCATACTTTATGAAAAAATGGCGTCAATATAATAAATTTATAAAAAAACTTATATAATTAATATATATATATATATATATATAAACTAATTTATCTATTATATGCATATTATGAGCATGATATGTACAGTAGAATCGCAAAGTTTGAATCCACCAGCAAGCTTTTCACAAAGAAACTCAGGAAGACCTAAAGTGACCACAGAATCTAAAGGTCAGTACATCAGGCCGACCTCAACAACATCTGCATAGAAAGTTCAAGGCAAGCTGAACAAAAAAGGCGTACTTTACTTCTTATAAGAACAGTCAGAAGAGGAAAGAAAACTGTCGTCTTCATAAGAGAATAGCGGTTTCCAAACCAGGTCTAGACAATGAAACAAGTGAAATCGTGCAACCTGGGCTGAAAAAACATAGACATTTCACCGTTGACAAATAAGTAACCTAGTCGATTGTTATAGCAAATATACGTTTGCTTCGTCGACAATCCCACCAAAGAATGTGATGTGGGAAAAGCCCTGTCCTTCCTAGAAATTCCCATTTGACCTCTGACCCAAAGACACTCGTGGCAATTTGACGCAGTGGTTGACGTGTCAATCTGACAT